GCCTTCCTAACCTGATCCCTGGCTGCTCAGACAGTTTCTCTGAATTCCTCCGAGGCTTCCTGTCCTTGTGTCCACCCTCCGTAGGCTTCTTTTTAGTGTTTGAGCTTGTGCAGGAGCTCCCTGTTCATCCATTCAGGCCTCCTGGTGTTCTTACCTGCCGCCTTCTTTGTTGGGATGCATCGCTCCTGAGTTTGGAGGTGGTGACCCTTGAATATTAACCAGCTTTCTTGGGCCCCTCTTCCCTCCAGGGCTTTATCCCAGGCTACTCTGCCAAGCAGATCCCCAAAGAAGCCAAAGTCTGCTCTCCTGAAGTCAAGGGTAATGAGCCTGCTATGTGCCCTCCTTGCTGCCCTAAGGATCTTGAACTCTCCCATTTCATGGTCACTGCAGCCAAGGCTGCCCTTGAGCTTCACACTCCCCACCAGCCCCTCCTTGTTGGTGAGTACAAGGTCCGGCACAGCACCTCTCCTCCTGGCTCCTCTGTCACTTGGAGAAGGAAGTTATCATCAACGCATTCCAGGAACCTCCCGGATTGATGATGCCCTGCTGTGTTGTCCCTCCAACACATAGCAGGGTGGTTGAAGTCCCCCATGAGAACCAGGGCTTGTGAACATGAGGCTGCTCTTGTCTGTCTATGGAGACCCTCATTTGCTTGGTCTTCCTGGTCTTGTGGGCTGTAGCAGACCCCACTGTAACATTTCCTTTCTCTGCCTTCCCTTTAATCCTGACCCATAAGGTCTCGGTTGGCTCCTCATCCATCCCCAGGCAGAGCTCCATGCACTCCAGCTGGTCATTGACATAGAGGGTGACACCTCCACCTCATATCCCCTCCCTGTCCTTCCTAAAGAGCCTGTATTCTTCCATTCTAACACTCCAGTCATAGGAATCATCCCACCATGTCCCTGTGATACCAATAAGATCACAGCTCTGCATGCACACATCTCTTAAATCCCCTTGCATAATTATAATAATTATAATATTATCATTATGTAAACACACATGCTACACGTGTTTGCACAGAGGCATTTAAGTTGATCCCCCAATGAAGGTGACTTAATGGCTGGAATTCCTTTGTGCTGCTCTTCAGTTGCTCTCCTGTGATCCCTTCTCCAGGTCTTGGCATCTATTGCTGACACTGGTGTCAAGTTGCTACTGGTGGGATGGTTTGAGGTTCCCCTCCCCCAGCAACTTTAGTTTAAAGCCCCCTTCACCAGCTTGGCAAGCCTATGACCAAGGATGTTCTTTCCCTTCTCTGACAGATGTACCCCATCAGCCCCTAGTTGACCAGATTTGTCAAAGCGAGTCCCATGGTCTAAGCAGCCAAACCCCTGGCTATGGCACCAGTCCTGTAACCAACTGTTGATTTTCCAGATTCAGCTGGCCCCTTCAAACCCCTTCCGTTTGACCAGGAGGCCAGATAAAACAATCCAAGCTTCAATGTTTCAACAAGTATGTTTGTAAATGAGTCTGTTCTATTAATATAACATGCTGGCTCCATCTTTTGATCGTTAAGTTCTTGAAAGACAAGTCACAAAAACTGACAGTGAAAGAAATGCAACATCGTGATCAGAAAAATGGGTTTAACTCCTATATGGCAAAAAGTATTCTGAGAGAAAGTAAAAAGTGCACAAAGCTACTGGAAAAGTAAATATTACTTACCCGCTGAAAGCATTATGTGGTTTTGTAAGTATTGTCTGTGCCTGTAGTGTATGTGAATGCCATGCTTTTGTTCCGTCTAAGTTTACAACAAAAGCTTGAGTTTGAGTAAACATACTTTGTTGTACGAAATACAGATATATATAGTATATCAGGTTTAGAAAATGTTTGTTAAGCATGACTAATTTTGTCAAACAGAAAAAACACAATCATGAAAAAGAACAAAAGTTGGCATGAGAAAATGACAATACTTATTTATTTTAACCGCAAGTTTTAATTTAAAAAGTCCTGCAACTCTATTTACAAATACTATAATGAAAAACAACCCCGAAAACTGCTTGCTAAAATGCTTTGGAACACAGCAGGAAAGTCCTAGGAAAAGCCAATGGAAGTGAAGGTCAAAATAAAAAGAAAAGTGGAAATACAGCACAAGGGCTTTAAAAAAAAAAAAAACAAACACAAAAAAAACAAAACAAACAAACAAACAAAAAACAAACAAAATAAGAAAACCAAGAAGCCCACCCCAAGTAAAAGAAAGCAAGAGAGAAAACTAGTGGTGAATTGCTCCAGCTCATGACATTGCTTTCCAAAAATGAATGCTCTAGTGAAAAGCTTTTAGATTCAGCACAGATGCAACTGCATGAAATTTTATATCCTGAGATACCAATATGGTCATTTGAAATGACTGGAATTTTTTAGCATTAAGAAATATTTGCTGATGATTCAGAAGTATCTTTTTTCAAACATTTCAGCTTTGTGAGCTATCACTAGAGGTGTATTTTTTCTGATTTACTTGGAATACTTCAGAGCAGGAATCTTTATTCTTTACTTGTTCACTTGGGTATTTTGAAGTATAATTCTCTTGCTGTTTCAGTTTACAAAAGCAACATAAAAGCAATTCTTACTACCTAAAATTCAGCTCATCCCCTTCTGCTTTCTAATAGGCCTTTCAGAAACAACTTGAGTAAACAGAAAGCTTTACCAGGTGAAGAAACATTTAACACTGTATTTACAGGACCAAAAGATTGTCAAAAAAGAAAATGTCAGGAGTTAAGTCATCTTGAATATAAGGGACAGTCTAGGGACACAGTTATATAGTGACTTTCATTTTGTGAAAACATAAAGAATGTCAGTTGAAGTCAACACAGCTAAACAAAATGTAGAATTTATCTGACAACTGAAATATATATAGATAAAAATCATCTTGAACTGTGCCTGTAAGAAAATATCTGAATAATATTTACAATCAAAAATTGAGTTTATATTGTAAGAACTTGGCTTTAAATATTTTTTCTCATCTATTCAAAATTTTGACACAGAATGTAATTATTTTGAATAATTTTTAAAAGCCACTATGTAAGCAAGTAATTTCTACCTGCAGAAGACATCACAGTCACCACTAGTTAACGCAAAGGAAGTGCTTTCACAAAACCAGAGCTACTTCATCCAGTAGCTGACTTGATGGAAAAAATCTTAGACTAACATGAAGGAAAAAATATCCCACTCAGCTTCTCAGTGACATTTACCTGCAGTACTGGACTGAGAGTGTACACTACCTACTTTTATTTAGATCAATCATCTGAAAAAAATACAATTTACTAAATGTAAGCTTTTCAAAGTTAGCTATTTAAAATACATAATTACAGTTTGGTTGACTTATCATACCTTTGAGATACAGAGCCATGGATAAATCAAGTGAACTCCAATTTTAGTTACCAGAGGTTTCAACTCCTTGAAAACTTACACTATCATACTTCTGTCTTTGCTCAAACAGCAAACTTAGGCTTAAAAAAGTAATCTGATTTGTCCTTTATATTTCAAAGGGGGTGTGGGCTCCTCTGTAGAGGCCAGTTTCATTATTTTGGATTCCAGTGGCAGGTTCTTGTAACTCAAGACAAAAAAAGAAATTTTCATTGGACAAGGCAAAGCTAGCCAATATTACTTTAATGCACATCATACTTGGTCGGATGGTGTATCTGACCATTTGATGATGTTTAAAACACAGAGATCTTCCAAAAGAGATTAAACAACAATGGAAGAGCACATGTGTGATCCCAGAGTGATGCAGTAACAGCAGCATCAATTTCCAGACCCCATTTTTCAAAGTATTAACTGGATGACACTGCAAGTTGAAAAGAGTCTGGAAAAAACTAGTAGCACTTGTATCACTGAGGTCTGAAAAGCTCTAGCCAGCACTACCCTGTCTGTTCTCATTTGTGTGACCATAAAACCAGGTTGTGCTATGAGAACATCCAAGGAAACCTGTTTTCTTATGGATTTACCTCCTATGTGCCATGTTCTAACCTAGCCATAATCCCTTCACATGCCCTACAATTGCTCATACAGACACCTGGAATAGCCCTTCAAATAACCCCTTCTTCCATGTCTGCCTGTACAGATCCTGTCTTTGTCCCTTCTCACTACGAGCAGTTTATGCTCCAGCCACTGATCCATGACTTGTGCGCTCACAGGCCTGATGAAGAAGTCACACAGGGTGCTGGGCTCAGCTAACAGTTCTCCAGGAGACAGGACATTCATTTGGGTTTTCTTCCTCCTCTACCCAGCTTTTAGTTTTCGAAGACTTTCCTGAGACCTTTAGCACTGCTCAGACAGATAGACAGAAATATGCTTCATTACCTTAAACCAGACTAAACCATATCAGAAAGTACTATACGGAAAGCTGCTGAAAATATCAAACTTGTAAACCATGTGAAAGATAGGTACATTGTTTAATGTTAAACTGTGTTCAAAGTATGGAATAATGTCATCAGCTGCTTAAATAATATTGGGATTAGTTTATATTTCTACAGTTGAAAGCTGTAGGAGTATGTGGGTAAATACAATAGTATTGCTTCCTTCTAGATTTATTCAAAATGACAGTACTGTGATCCTTTGACAGTAACACTGAGAAAAATAATGCAGACTTTTTTTTATAATTTTATGATGAGCTAAATGCTGTTTTACACCTTCCTTCAAGTTCTTCCTCCAGGTACAACTATACAAGAGTCATCACTCTCAAGAAAAAAGCATCAATCCTCAGCAAAAAAAAATGTGACATTTGAAAGGCACAGACCCAAGAGGAAGCAAAAAAGGCTTACATAAATCATGTTTAGCTTTTCACAGTGCTTAGCAGAAACATAATTTTAGGGGGCTGACTCCTGATAATTGATTACTTGCAGTACGCAAGAAAACCTGTTAACCTTAAAGGTGCACATATCCTCTATTTTAATGTTTTGAGCTCAACCCCCCTTCTGTTTCAGCCCTTTTCTCCTTTGCCGGCCCCTCAGCTACACTTATATTATCCTAAACACAGTGCACTGACAGTAGTACAAACACCTACTTACAGGAATCATCCAGTTGGCCAGGTCACCATACTTAGACACCTGCATAGCTCCAAGCATTGTCAAATCAACATGGCCTCTGGCAACAGAAAGTGTGTAATTAGCATATCATGTTCAAGCGACAGCCCAGAAGTCTTAACAAGCTTTTGTTCACATTCTCATTACATCAGTATAAACACGATGGCATACCACAGAGGTAGCAACCATTTTGTCACACATGTAGTTGTTTTTTTCTCCTCTTTAGATGTATTACTGATGCAAATTTTTCTGTCTGCTTACTGACCCTTAAAAATGTTATTACTTTTGTCTGGTTGTGGTTAATTGCATGCACAGTCAATCAGCTCTGAACTCATACTTTTAAGTGCACTCCTTCACATATTTATATGCACTCATCCTCTTTTCAGAGTCATTAGGATTTAGTGTTTGTTTACATCCAACCTCTTTCCCGAAAAACAAACAAAAAACAGGTGCAGATGGTGAATTTCCATTAGGGAGGTGGAATGAGGATCACAGTTACAAGCTGAGCAAAGAGAATGTACAGAGTGCAAGTACAGATTAGATACCTGGAAATGATCAAGAAGTAGTTGTGAAAACATAGTTATAAATGTGTTTATATATGGCCAGGTGGTGGTAGACACGAACATCACTACAGTATCTATTAGTTACAGTGTTTTTCTGTTTCCAATAGCTAGACCTAATCCCCTGTAAACCATCACTGATTAAGTCCATGATCATTTTATAGGCTGTTAAATGCTAACCACTTTTCAAAGAATTATTAATGAGTTCAGTCACTGATTCAGTTTACTTTTTTCACATTTCAAAAGATCAGGGTTTGTGTTGTTACGTACCCTCTTATCATTGCAAATGATTCATCGCTAGAGAAATAGGAAGAACCTGGAAGAACAGTGACTGTCTCCTTACCTGTAAAAGAAATAAACTACAGTATGTATGTATTTTGTCTCTTTGACAAATGAAATCACAGCTATTAATCAAGAAATAAATTCCTTTAGATTCTGTACAACTGTGGAACTGTTAACACTTACTGTGTCACATGTAAACCTAATCAATCGTAATGAACTGTGAAACAGTTTGTTACAGTTTTTAATGATAGGATTGCCCACTGTTTGACCACCAGCAGTTCCAGGCAAGACATCGCTTACACTAGAAGCTAAGAAATCTCTGTGGACTTCAGCTTTCTGCTCTACCCTCAGAAAAAGTGAGAGCTAACTCTCTTGAAATAAAGAACATTTTTAGGAGACAGGGATGTTACAAGGAAGAGCAAGCAGACCAGACTGAACAGCCTAGAGTTATACAGGAAAATAACTGATAGATCTAGTCTACTCTTGCTTTGTTAAAGTGTACCAAAAAATGTGCTTCTGTGTGCTGTACTGTTCTCTGCACAGTGGTCGCGTCAATTAATGGAGCACACATGGAAGCATCTTACTTTTACTCTGTCCAGAGCCCTCTCTTTCCTCTCCTGCCAGTATTTTGAATCAGTCTAAGCAACATCCATGTGTACAGAGTGCCTCTGGAAAGGCATTAGAAACACAGCCAAAAGTGAAATTATAAACCCAGTATGGAAAACTTGAGAGGAAAAAAGAAAAAAAAACAATCAAAAATGAAAAAAAAAAAACCACAAAAACAAAACCAACCAAACAAAAAACCACACACACAAAAAAAAAAAAAAAAAAAACAGAACAAAATACTTTAGCACCAGATGACATTGTGAAGAACAAGTTAGTGTAGTAACAAAGTGGAAGAGGAATGACACATCATTAAACAGTTTCCAGAAAATAGGGAAAAAGAGACAATGAGACTAACTAAGAGGATAGGAAAAGGGAAACAGACACTGTAGGAAAGTTAAATTAGAGACCTCCATTACCAGCTTTAATTTATTGAGTTCACTTGATGTATATTATATGCCAAGACATGCTATGGAAACTAAATTTTGACACACGAAATAGTATAGAATTAAGGTCATACAAGTGATCTTGCAGTCAGATCACAAGAATTCAACATGCTAACATCCAAACGTGCTGAGACTGCTTGAATTATCTTCCCCTACCAGGCACCCACCCAAAGCAGTGGGAGAGACAACACGGCCTGCAAGCAGCAACATTGAAAAAGAACCCTGGGGGGTAAAGTGACAAGCTAAGGCAATACTGAGAAGAGACACAGGCTGAGGACCACAGAATAATCTAACAAGAGCGCTGCATTACCCACTTCTTGAAAGAGCTCTCAGGAAGTCAGTACTTGTAAGTATTTCTGCCATAAGACAGAAGTCTACCTTTCAATTACTGTTAATATAAACTTCATGTGAGATACTCAGAAAATGGAACAAACAAAAAACCCATACATATTTCAGTGAAATACAATTACATCTGCAGATAAAAATTTGGCAAACACCCAAACTGGGAGTATATTTTGAAAATGTGGGCTTTGGGGGCTGACACTGGACCGTTGCAGTCAGTGAATGCAAACAGAATTAAATCCTATTTCTTTCTCATTTAGCTTCTGTTTTCTTCACATCATTTTAGAAATCTGTCTGGAAAGCAACTAGAATGGTCTTAATCCAACTGTCAGTGTGATTTAGCAGCTTCTGAATGTTTCAGCAAGGATAACAATAATAATTTTGGTGCTAGAGCTGAGGTTCACCTACCCTGTGTCCTGTCTACTGCAGCTTCAGAGGAAGATGTGAAGGTGCTTAACACTGAATTACCAATACTGGAATAATCTGATTTCCATGTTGCATTCTGACCTCTTATGTTAGCTTCATCCCTGAAAGATTACCTCTTCAAAAATATTTATCAACCATAAGTAACAATTCAAGATCATCCTGACATCCATATAAAAGCACAACAATTTTTCAGAGTATTTAACAAGTTCTTGGATATTTTTTTCTATTGTCATTCTGTTAACATGTTAATTTCTAATGCACCCATTTTAGAACTTAACTTCTAATGTGTGTGCATATAATTTCACCTTTTATAGTAAATGGTTTTTATTCTATACACTTTTTTCCTTCCTGTGACACCTTCAATAATCTATTTTTTTTTTTAAATACCTAAATTTCAGTTCAAGTGTTAACACAGCTCTCATGAGCTTCTGGCATTTTCCTTCATACAGTGTATCACAAAAGTTACCTAGCTACTGGTGAAATGCTGGATTCAATTCCTTAATAAATTCTTATTCCAAACCGGAAGATGGCCATAAATAACTCCTTATTTAAAACATAATACTGAAACAGGGGCAATAACATAGAATTATGATAGTGATATCAATTAGTTAAGTCAGGTAGCAAATGTTTCAAGTCAGTAAACAATTGCTGGATTGCACCTGCACCATGATATTAAACTAAAAGCTTGCTTGATGTCACTGCTTTATCACCTTTGCCTTTTCAGAGTTTAATTCTACTTGCTAACAGCCCATGAGAAAGGTACTCTCTACATGGATACATACGTACACACCCATGCACATGTGCATATGAATGTATATGTATACATAAAAAAAAATATACAAAATGCACAGATTTTCCACATGTATAAACAACCCTAAGATGTCAGCCATGGGTCTATAAACCTGTACCATTAACACCAATGAAAATTTATAAGGTGTCAAGTTGGGCACTTCTGTTTGTCACAATGCACTATATAGGTGTAATTTTACATGGCAACAAGAGAATGGAGACAGGCCCAGCTTTCTGTGAAGAAAACAGTGTCTTGGTTTGGGCTGAAATAGAGTTAATATTCCTTTTCAGGGACTAGATGAGTGCTGTGTTTTGGATTTAGCTTTGGGTTTGGTATGGGAAGAATGCTGACAGCACACTGGTGTTTTCAGTTGCTGCTGACACTTCAAGGACTCCCCGACTCCCCATGTCCTGCCCGTGCGCCAGGGCACAGGGAGCAGGGAGGGAGCACGGCCACAGCACCTGACCCAAACTGGCCCGTGAAATATTCCATATCATGGCACGTCATGCTCACTGTATAGAGGAGGGGTGGTCGGGAAGGGGCTCTCTCTCTCTCTCTCTCTCTCTCTCTCTCTCTCTCTCGCTTCCGGGATTGCGACTGTGGGATCTTGGTATTTCGGGGTCGCTGGCCGGGAACGGGCTGGGGATTGGTCAGCGGGTGGTGAGCAATTACGCTGTACATTGCCTGTTTATATATTTCTTTTTGTTTTCCGATCGTCATTGTTCTCGTTTTACTGCCATTATTAAACTGTTCCTATCTCAGCCTGCGAGTCTCCCTTCACCCCTCTAATCCCCTCCCCCATTCCCAGGTGGGGAGGGGGAAGGGAGGGTGACCAGCTGCGGGGGTTGGTTGCTGACCAGGCTCAAACCACGACAAACAGAAATCAGACAGATGCACTAAACCACAAAAAGCTTAATTTTTTACATTGCATGGCTGCTTCTGAGCTTAAATACCTAAAAACAGCTGGGCAAAAACAGCATGTGAGGACTGGCATTCCTCTGTGAAAGTGGCAGAAGCAGCAGGGCCCTCCAATGGGCCAAGTCCTGTTTGAGGAGCTCTTTCCCCCTGCCCTGGCTACTGCTACCTCTCCAAATTCAAATGAGTTGCATTCCTGGCAACTTGCTAGCCAGACATAAACCAGGGCATTCTACACAGGACGTTTTAAAACATGTCCCAAACATAAATCAATGAAAAGCATTTTCTAAAAGAGAGAAGGTGAAGAGTAGCAGGAAAACAAATCCATATTCATATATAGGCTTCATAAAACAATCTTACTTCTGAAAAGGAAGATTTGACCCTTTACTGCCTGGCCTGAAAGAGAGTTTCCTTCAGTAGCTGCTAAAATGCATCACATCAGAAGCTAACTAGAATATTAAACACCTCCATTGATCAAAACCAACTTTCACTTAAAATAAGACAAATACAATAATATTTATAAGTAAATATAGCAGGAGTCTGGGTTCAAATACTGAATCAAAAGAAAATTTTAAGATTAACAATAAATAATCATTTTCCATAAATTAAATTTATTTAAAAGATTTTACCTGCATTAATCAGGTCTGGATCTACTTCGTTTTCAAGTGGATAAGGACCCTGAGAACAATGCAGACATATGTCAGGTATACATTAAAATACCTTTGAGATACAATTCATAACTGCTTTATTACTTCTAATGTTTACTACTGAAAACAGATCATCACAGGCATGCATTTTAGTTTATCTTTAGCAGCGTAACATCCCTGAGAATACAAGCCACAATTTAAGTCAACTAGCGTATCAGGACTGACAGACATATTGTTAGAGGTTGTTAGAATTTCTAAATAACCTCTAAGTAGGGGGGTTGTTTGGTTTGGTTTTTGTTTTTCTTTTTTTGTTTTTTTTTTTTTTTGTTTGTTTTTTTTTGGTTGGGTTGTTTTTTTTTTTTTGTTGTTGTTGTTGTTGTTTTTAACCAAAATGACAGACATTCTTCAGAAAAAGGTAAGTAGGTGCAACTTCTTTAAGCCATATGGTAGTGAAAATAATACTCACTTTAGGCTTTATTTAAGATTATGTTTGATAAGGCCTTACAAGGCTTGGTCTTGCAAACTACTGAAGGTTCTGACTTCTTCCAGCAAAACATATGCTGAAGAACATACTTAGCAAAGTAACACTATAATCCTGAATTGAGCATTTCCTTAAAAACTTCCCTGCACTACAATAAGAATTTTATGATCATGCAATATGGTATATATTTGAATATGATTTTTAGTAAAATCATAATCAGGTTGGGTGTGGGCAGGGAATAAAACCCAGCCACTGCAAGGTGAGTACACTGCAATAAATGATCAAGATACATTCTTACCAAACCCAGAACTCCATTTTCACTCTGTAAGTGAACAGTTATGTCTGGACTGATGAAGTTACTGGCCAACAGTGGGATTCCAATACCCAGATTAGCTGAAGAGAAATGGTTAAGGCACAGACAGAAACACACTTAAGCAAACTAGTAAATTAACAAAAGTTATCATTGTACTATGATTAGATTAGAGTTGTTCTCTTCACAAATACTTTCATTTTTAGTTAGATGCCTCAAATTTGTGATGAATTATTTTTTCATTTGGACTAATTGCATTCTGTCAAATGTTTTACATGATAAAAAACCCCACAGTGCAAGTAAACTTCGTTTCCAAATGTAACTTTTTCAAGAAATTCTTGCAAAACATTCAATTACTAACAAACTCTCCAGATGCACCTGGATAAAAACTCCAGGTACTCTACGTTTTAACATCACATCTATTTCAACAGGGTGTTAATAAAATGAGAGAATCCCAGGCTCTGGGAAAGACAATGAGTATGGTAATTAACCTGTTTTAAACAAAACAGCTGCAGTTGTTATTCTAATGAGTCGCCATTTTAATCTACAGCACAGCTGAAGGATACCATACATGCCATCCTCAAATTCTAAGGCAGCCCGTCTGATGATCCTCTCCCTCACATTGTCTCCTTGCTTTTGTTTCACTTTTGAGTCTTCAGGCTTTCGGATTGATAAGCGCTGCAAAAGAAGAAGTAATCATAAATAAAGATTAGAATCCAGATTCTTGCTTCTCACGACACAAAAGCATGATTCGTGATTGCACTGAGATACTTGGTCTAAGAATAATGTTATTTATCTATCATCTACAAAACCCAAACTTTTATTTTATCCATTCAAGCTTATCTAAGCCAATGGAGTCATCAAATATCCCCAATGATGGCCTTAGAGCAAAATGTTATTTCTTCGTCTGTATTACAATGGCTGAGAGAGTACATGATATATAGACAAATGGCTAAGGAGGCATGAAGCATTAGTGCAAATAGTAGCAAGTCTGAGATTCATTACCCCAGAGATACCTAAATAGATTTGTAAAATGTCAGCCTAAAATACAAATACTGCTCTCTTTCTGCATTCATTCAATTCAGCAGTGGTGTTCTAGATTTATATGCAAGAAACAGACAAATGCCAGTCATCCAAAGATACTTTGAGCTAAGCAACTAAGTTTTCAAATATAAATCTGTATAATCTTGCATAAATCTGCCTGAAGTTATTTCTGAGATTTCCTGGCCTTAAATTGATGCTTTCTAAATCCCATGTAGGTGAAGATGCCATGGCATTCATGGAGTTTGTAAGACCTTTCTTGTGAATTATTGTTTACATAGATGATGTTATTTGAGCATCTCTCCCATGCATATAAAACTGCTCTGGCCAACACCATGTCCTGCACCCTCATATGTACTGACATCCCCTGTTGCTTCAGGCCACAATGAACACATCAGGCAAATTATCCTCTGTTACTTTTCATCATCACAAAAGAATTCTTGCAGTGTCTTTCTTCCCCATATTGGGAGTCACTTTCCTCTTAGGCAGTCCGTATCAATCCTGCTGAATTTCCCAGCAACTTACTTTTTATGCCTTGGCTATTTTCCCTAGAATTGCTTCACTTGCAAGTTATGGAAAAAGTAAAAACGATCAGAAAAGGTTTCTCTTTGTGATCACAATGGGTTTCTCAGAAAGTATGACTTGCACTAGAGGAAACACATCTGAACCAAATTAGGCAGCAACTGCTGTTTAAAGCCAGTAAGAATTATGACAGACTGGCTTCTCGCTATTCTCATTATTCTTCATCTCTTCTTTTACCACTTATCATGCTCAGTGCTTTCATATGTACAGCTGCTTCCTTCATATATATTCTTTTATGGAAGAAAAAACTTACCATTTCCTTCCTATACTTCTATTAATGAGAGGTGCCACTGACAGAATTACAAAATTACACAAACAAAATTAATCTCTATTATAACTTTGCTGTGCAGTTTATAGTAGCTTTGGTTTTTTCCCTCATCTCAGTTCCATGTTTTCTTAACCATATAGGAAAGGGTTGGCTAGGTAGGTGTATTATGCAGCCAACCCCAAAAAAATCCTGTGTATAAAGTTGCATAAAGGTCTTCCCTGGACAGAGAGTCACCACTTCATCCACTGTCAAACAGCAGTAAGTATAGCACCTTAATAAATCCAAAATGTATTTCTCATGAAAAGTAAAAGCTTTTCTGTGAGATATTGCATCCATTCAGAAGGAGGAAACAGGCCATTAATTGCAGTCTAACACAACATGCCCAGAGAAAGAAAAAAGGAAAAAAAAAAAAAGTTTGACACATCTGTTTCCAGTCAAATACTCAAGAACATGCAATAAGCTTTTGCAGAATGAACAGATGGAAGGAAAAAAAAAAAGCTTTTTAACCTTAACATTCATAAAAGTTTACTCAGAGAAAAGGCCTTGTATGACTTTCTAGGACTTTATGACTTGATTTTAATAATAGAAGTTTAATTATTAAAATTCCTTTCTGCACTTTTTTTCCCAGGGTTTTTTTTTCCCTTGTGTCATATATCTCTCCCTCCACGAGCATTTATGATGACATTTTGAATAATTCCCACCTTCAGAGTATGGAGACACAGGAGAAACAGAATTTTCAACTGCACTTTAAGAGCACTGTCACATCACCAAAATTAATATAGGGACATATCTGGAGTGAAGCAAAGCCACAGAATCAAAGAACAATTACCTAATCATAATTTTCTTGGATGTTTTCAGTGACAGAGTATTATTGGTGCAATTTTTATTACCTACTGACATCTTTTATTCAGATTAGAAATGCCACTGACTAAAAAAGTTCCTGATTAAAGAAAAGGAAAGAAAGGTTCCATGACCTTTGCAGTGTAATGTAATTCAATACACAGCACAAAAGGGGCTGAGACTGACCCTATGTACCCATGTCAAAAGCTCTCCAATAGGAAAGAAAGTATCTAATTATTAGTCAGATCTTAGTCTAGGTGTTCTCCTTGTTGTGTCCACAGGAGGTGAACTGAGAGCAGGAAACAGAGTGAGTTAGCATTTTCCATCAAATTTTCAACTGTGTTAAACCCAACCAGGACTACAGGCAGTTGCTCTAAATTATTCAGGGACTGAACCAGAGAGGCTGAGGTTTAAGAAACAAGACTCAATTATCAGGCCACCACCTACCTACTAACTATCTAAATACTGACCTAAGCTTCAATACTTAGCAAAACTTGATTGGTCTTTCTCGCACTATTTTCCCACTGCTAAGAATTGGTGGCTAGAGTAAAAACCACGTGAATTCTAAACTACACCCCAAGCTGAAATATGTTGCTACCAAGAAGCTCAGATACTTACTTCAATTCTCTTCTCAAACTTCTCTCCTTGTATAAGACGATCGACATAGATTTTGGGAACATGAATGTCTTCTGGGGCAAATGCTCCTATATCAACGATTTCTTCCACCTACAGAAAGAAGAGTGAAAGTGAAAATATTTAGAAAAAAGTATTCAATGAGAGATTTTATTAGCAATGAAGTTGCAAATATTAAATGTACAGTGGATCAAATCAAGAAAACTAAGGAATGGGACAAAAATAGATATACCCTTTAAAATAGGCTATTTTAAATGTTTATCTTCCCTCTTCTTTCACATAATATTTCAAATGGAACATAGTTTCTGTTTTAAGAGGCCAATTTGTACAACCACCTTGAAGAAATATAGCATGTTACATCAGTTATTTGTACCTACAAGTAATTTCCATTCAAACAGAAGGAAACAATATGCTGGTAACAAAATGTCAAAGGAGAAGTATGAATTTTAAGGATACAAACACAGAAGTTGGCTTAAGTTTCTCCATAGTGTACTCAAAAATAAAACTGAAAACACCAGTTTGTGTAAAATTGAAAGCAGTCATCACCCATCACCAGTGAAGCAACATTAAAGAGCTTAAAATTCAATTTGACATCCTACTGTTACTGCACAATGTGATCAATAATAAAATCTATAGTACATCTGATACACAATTACCTTCCTACTGTGCCTCACAGTGTGACACAATAAACAAACAAATAAATCCACCCTAAAAGCAGCAGAGGGAGATGAAAAAATAACAAACTAAAGACCACAGGATCAGTTTCAGATGATACCTAAAAAAACAACCCTGGGGTAAACTGACAGGAAGAGACAAATTGTGAAATCTGTAAGGCAAAGGTGGTAAGAAAAAGGCAAAAACAGCCACAGGGACACCAACCTCAAGTGTTCAAGGAAAGCAGAATCACACATCCAGAAAGGCCTTATCCACAAGATAAGGAGAGACAGTCAAATCAGTATTTTAAAAATTCAGGCTACTGTACTCACAAAAAAATGGTTCAATCACATCCATGCCCCATCTCACTTGAAGTTTATTATTTTCTACATGAATTTTAAAATTAGTATGCAGAGTAAGTCAAACACAGAGTAAAAGGAAAAAATCCTGAAGCACACAACTGAAGCACACTGCACTTTCGGTACAGTGACTATCACAATATACTCAAAAGGGAAGGGAAGCAGAGACAAAACTTTTCAATGAAGTCACAGGCAAGCAGATGAACTGCACCAGCAAAATTCCCAAATTCACCTTTTCTAATTAAATTTGTCTTCACTTATCAGGTGGAAAATTAGGTCTGGGGAATACTAATTGCTACTGATTTGAACTTCCTCACAAAAAAACTACATTTATTTGCTGCAGTAGGTGAGATTAAAAAACCAAAATCTTTGCTGGCACAATTCAACCAACTTCAGTAGAACTACACTGTCAGAAAACTTGACACACTGTATCTCTCCCCCTATAGAATACACAGAATAAATAATTTATATAGCAATAAATTGTTGGATTTTGTTATTAGTCACCCCATTCCATTAATTGGTTAGCATTTTGTCTATTTGGAAACAGCAGTTAGCATGATAGCTTTTCTTCACAAGAACCATCAACATACTTATTTATTATTTCCATGTATTATCCTAAATAAACATAACAGACAATCTGTATTTTGTCCTAGGGATTTCAGATGAGCCTAAGGATCCCTGCAGATTGGAACACCTTTGTGTTCACAGGCGGCCCCCCACTATTCTTACTGGTGTTTCACAACTACCGTGGTTTACCATTATGTGAAATAAGCAATAAATGTAATTAAAATCAGGTATGTTAAAATATCCATATAGCAATAAAATGAAATTTTGAAAAGGTATTAAAAATTTGCATGTAATGGCTGCAAGAACACATATCATCCAGTTCTGCAAGTAAATTTAATCAGCATGTTTATATGAAAAAGAAAGAATTCACACAAGGGAAGTACAAATGTCATCTGATTGCTCTAACTCTCTCTCCCAACTCTGCTCACAGGGAACTAGATGATACTCTAGCTAAGACACTGTAGAAAGGCTGCCAGCAGCCTCCATCAGTATTGCCAGCACTGATACCCCAGATGATGCTGTGCCAACAAAAGTGAAACCAGGAAATTCGATGGCTATGGGAATCAGGAACTTAAATTTCTGTAACCACTGCAAAACATAAGCCAAGAACCTTACTAGATAAAAATGATAATGCAAAAATAAATAAATTGCTGGGCATATTCACTCCCCTTTCAGGTTTCATAGTGTTTTATGAGTCTATTCTGTAACACATCCACAGCCTAAGCCTCAATGAAACGTGCAGAAGAGCATTCATAATAATTAAAATAATTAAAAAGATATGTGTGAGTTCTCTTCCTGTTCTGCTCTCTATCCTATCTATCCTTCTGCTCTTTCTTCTCTCTACTTACCTTGCCTCAGGGCTTTATTTTGTCATGTACAGAAGAATCCCTGTAAATATCAAAAATCATTATATGGCATCCCACCTGAGAGACCAAAAGTTTGGCAAAGCATAAAGAGGGAACTAATCAGGGCAGACCACCTCCTGGACTTTTTAAATCAAAATACTCTGGTACCATTTACATTGTCTTGATCGCATGTATTTATTTTAAAGATTATCTTCATGAATGTGCTAGAAGATAGAAAATGTCTACACATTTGCTACGCATGGAAAGCTAAAGAGTAACTTCAAGAGACCATAGCAGCTGAGTCCTCTCATTTGGGAAGGCTCTGAAGCATGATTTTAAAATCTTTCAATTGTTTCAAGAGTTTCACAGTATTGGTTTTCTTCCTGGCTATAAAAGTTACTGCAAATCTTGTCTTGATTGCTGACAATGGGAGCAGAATGAATAAATTCAACCATTTCTGAACACTGGTTTATCTGCAAGTACACCCAGAACATGAAAGCTGTTCTCTGCTATGATTCACAAGAACCTTCTGCCTTTCCTTTTTGTATCAGCACTCATAGAATCAGTGGTCATTTGTTTCACAATATCACTTCCTTCTGTAATTTACATCTACTTTTCCCTTTTTAAAGTAGTTTTGATTTATTTTTGCTTATGGAAATTCTACAATTTTATCTCAGAATTTCTGAAAGCCTTCAGAGAGAAAAAGGGAACCTCAGAGGTCACAGACTTCCAGTAAGAAAGACAGAGAACTCTGGTTCTTGACCAAAAATTGGCAAGGAGATTACGATGACACAACTATTCATGCCAAATCATTTGAAAATAAAAAGGTCTTTCCTTTTAGTATGTACGTTTCAACCTGTTTCTGCAGCCTAATTAGGTCTTTTATGATATGTGAAATGTTTTCAGCTGTTTCAGTTTTAAATCTCAGTTTTCACAAAACTAAGATATAACCAGAAATTACAAAATAATTTCTTATTACAGAAAAAAAAAATCAAAGACATGGATGTGTGGGTGGGGTGAGAGAGACTGGGGGAGACAGAAAAAATCTATGCTTAACAAAATCTATACATTTTTAAATAGCCTATTTTTACACTGGCTTGATTAAATCTCTCTATCACTATCTTAATTATCGTAGTACACTTCAGTTCTTCAAACTTAAATAATAAAAATACCCAGCAGAACACAAGTAAACTAAAACATTACAACTGGTCAAATGTCCAAAACAACAGAAGAATGAAACCAAATTTAGTCCCTTAGATGTTCAAAGACAAACTCATTAGAGCATTTCTTCAGTTTGCTACTGGAAGAGTCAGGATGTCACTGAAAAATTCATTGTAACATTTATAAAATCATAAGAAGTTAAAAAAAAATTAAAAACTACAGTAAGGGCTATGAGGAATAGTTGTGTGTCTGGTTCACTCAGGATCACAGAAACTATGATCAGCCATTCCTCATGGCTAATGACAAACAAGAAAAAAAAAGTCAGTCTTAATTTTGTTTAGACTGAATTTCACAAAAAGCTTTGACATTGTAAAACAGCAGAATACACTCTGAAAACAGGTCACTGGAAATTAAGAACTTATTTCTTAAGATACAAACTTACTGGGCTACAGGAAAAGAGGAAAGCATGTTAATATTACTCATTTCTGCCTGCATGCAGGGACACAAAACAGAGGATCTTCTGAGTTCAGTTCTGTCCTTTTCTGACTCTATGATCAACCAGAACATGGAATTTCTACTCCTGCCAAATACCTACGGTAATGAAATGGCAGTCAGTCAATAGCCATCCTGAAGCAGAGACTTCTACAACTTTAAAAAGCAAGCAACTACCAAGTAGTCTGATAAAGGCACATCTTGATCAATAATCAGCATGTTATGCACGTTATGCTCACATCAGACTTGGACTGATTTGGGTCACTCTGAATGTCTATTTAGTCCAGTAGCCCTTCTTCTTGCCAAAGAACAGGAGTTTAAAAGACAGAGTGGTACTTCTGGTTATATTCTCCCAGCTTCTGGCAACGTGCAGTTTAAGGAGGTCCTTAGTCAGAGGTTGGATATAGACCACCTTGCTTCATAGCTTATGATGAACCATAAACTGGTCTAATAGTTTTCCTGGAACCCAAAAGACTCTATCATTGCATTTCTACAATTTAACTAGTATGAAAAACATTTCTCATTATCTCTTGTAATTTCACTGTGGGCTTCCTTCTCTTTGCAATACAGGAATAGCAGGCAGCTGTTCTTTATTTGCCTGTTCCGTATCAATGAGGATCCTATGTAACTTTATATTTTTTCCTGGTTTCTAGTAGACTGTTATCCTCTATGAACACTGCAGAGAAAAACAGTGAGGTGTGTTTCCAGTATGTCATACCTGATCATTAGGGAAGCAAAGCTGACATAAATCTCCTTGGTTTGTCTTGAGGTTTTTTGTCACATGGCTACAGAACCTCATAAATTAGAAGCCCCTGATAGATTATACTAATTTTACCTTTTTCTCTGTTCTAAATCTCAGTTGCCTCAGGCTTAATCTCTCAGACTTCTTTGCACCTGCTGCCTGTTTGCTTCAACCACCCCTTCCTGTTTCACGCATTTAACTTCTTCCTCCATGCTGTACTGATGACAGCAAAGAAAACAAACTGCACAAAATTACCTGCTCTGGGTACTTACA